CTTAACGCCAAATTTCAAAGAATCTTGGGCAGTAAAAAGGTGTGGTTTTAGTTTGGAGGAGTGGGTTTCTGTTTATGTATTCATTATAGATAGATCTAAGTAATCATCTTAATTAAAGATGAATTTTTAGAGATCATTAAAAAGAAATGGGCTGGTCAAAAAGTTCCCCCTTACCTTTATCGTCTTTGAAATTTGTTGTTAATAATATATTTTTAATGAACATTTTAAATCAAAAACCAGATGAGACATGTTTACAAAATTTACAAAATTCTGAGCCAAATTAGTTGACACACTTCCAGCGACATTTTTCTTTTATAAATTACATATTCATATTATTATGAAGTCATTTGTTTGACCTCAGGGGGCAATATTTGATCTGTATTGTTCGATATTCACGATTCCAAGTGCAAGCTGCCTGTTTCTTTAGAAATGGTGTTCCTTTGGATCAATGAATTACATGACCATTGATTTTTGGATCAAAAAGTGTGAAGCTAACCCAACCCCTGTGTTGAGCGGCTAAATCTGTTTGTTAAGGCCAGCTCAATTTTCGTCAAGGTTGCTGAGATATAAATAAGGTTAGGGCACATGATTGTTGGCGAGATTGTAGGTTAGGGCTAGGTCCAGGGTTAGGGTTGGGATTAGCGCTAGCCCTGTTTGCATCGTGTGACCTTTGATCAAACTTGAAATTGGCTTATCAAATTTGATCTAAATGTGTAGAGCTCAATTTTCCACAAATCTCTGGTGACTGAAAGATCACTGCCTATTATCTTTCTCATTTTTTTTTTAAAACCCAGGAATGATTTTCTTCATTGGAAGTTAAATTTTAATTATTATGATATTTGATTTTATTGGGGGAAGATTGGGTACGGTAAATATAGTTGTTCTATTAGTCGAGCTATGGTCGCTCAGCGAATATGCGCTTGCTCCCAAACCTGGTAATCACAGGTTTAATCCTGGTGTTGACTGGGAAAATACCTCAGGATTCACCCGTGCATAATGTTGACAGAACATTAAAGATCCCCTGGCAGTTGGAAATCAAAATAAGAGTAGGCCATAAAGCTGCTGTGATGTCAAAATTCCCTCATTGTACACTACATGTGCACAAAAATCAGATTAAAACCCCATTTCATTTCATTTTGTATATGTTAGGATAAATATACGTTTTGTATAATTTTGTAATTTGGTTTTGGAAAGTGGTATCATAAATAATGTCTTTGTCGGTTTTCTTCTAACATGCTATTTTTATTGTATGTTAAACCACATTCAACATGAGTATTTATTATTTGGAGTTCGGTACTGATTTGTATTCAGGTACTTTATTTGGAGTAAATTCAAGTCAGCATGTCTGTCATTAGTATAAGCTACCTAGAGTTACATGAATTGGTAAAGCAAGAACAGGAAGCCATGTGGCACCATAATAATGCTGTTTTATCTAACTAAAGAAATATAAATTCTTCAGCAACCACCAGATTCTTCTTTTTTGTTATGGTAATTGTCGGTCTATTGGTTAAAATGTCTTGAATTTCTACCGCAAACTCTATTTCATTAATTAATCATTTTAGGAATATTTTTGGGAGTTTCTGTTAGCATTATGTATATCCATATAATTTAATTAACATACATTTTGTGTATTCATTAGTGGAATTTTGTGTATCAATCAGAATCTATGTATGTAATCAAGTTATGTATTAGCTTGTAGTGCACTGCTTTATTTGTCTGTATTATGATACACAGACAGTAATGTGTATAGAGTTAAGGGTGTATATTGCATGTTTTATGGAGTGTGATATAATTGCAGCATGAAATACACACCAATCTATATACATCATAGTAGTTGACTAACAATGACAAGGGGGTTTGGGATGCTCTAGTGATCTAGAGTGTTGCGCTTCAAGATCTAGCTGGCCGATCACCTCTGGCTTGCGGTCATGGTTCCGATCCCTGGTGCTAACATATGTGGCTTGGAGATAGGTGTGCCTTCTCAATCTTGTGGGTTTACTCTGGGTTTATGAAATTATGCGTAAATTTAGCTGGAAATGAGGGGACAGATGAAGAAATATTTTAGATATGTTCAGAAATCAAATCAGCTTTCAAGAAACATGTAGCATTGTTTAATTGTCTCTGTTTAACACATTTCTCGTTAATGATATTTAAAATTGTTTTTGACATATTTCATTGTAATGTGGTATATATACTAATAAAAGAGAAGACCACCACCAATGGAGAATGGAGGATTTTAACACTTAAAAGAATTTTTTTTTATTAAGAACCAGGATATAGGAGTGGATTTATACATTCTTCAATGATAGGTTGTTACCCAAACCGTACTATTATTTTTCTTATTTATTACCTTCTAGACTCACAGTGAAGTGGATCTTAATTTGAGGGCAAATTCTTTGGGTTTTTACGACGTTTTTTTTTTACACGTTCCTGTTGCTCATCCATCAAACCTAACCTTCAATTAGTAATTAACTGCACCTTTGGCAAGAATATAAAGATTTAGTTTTTTTTGTAAGTGATTAAATTTGTGTTTTTGTGTCTAATGACTAAGACCCATAAAGAGGAATTCTAAAAACACATTTTTTTTTTGTTTTATTTGCTTTGATTAATTCTTGCTATTTTTTCGATCAATTTGTGGCTGTTGTGTGAGTTATTTCTTAAAGGAAGCCAGGCTGAAGGATTTCATTTACATTATGTAACTGTATTAGTATTTCATGTGGAATTGTCCAAAATAAGTCTGCTGTAGCAAAATCATGGATGATGTATATTGAGGGATTCAAATATAAAAGATATGAAATGGGGTTTAATATCCTACTTTTCTGCTCCAACTGGGATAATGAAGACAAGCATACACCAAGCAGTGCACATTGGGATAAATTTTGTCTGGTTAGCTGTACTTTTGATTACTATTCACGGAGTTCCAACTGTCAAGGGTTCTTTTATGAGCACACCAAACAAGTACACATGTGGACCTCGATTTTCTGCACCATCAGAACAACTAGATGATTTTCCTTGTCAGGTCCTCCATCCTGCACAACTGTTTTTAAGCCAATCCATTAAAATTTCCATGATAAGCCAGCTTTTAAAAAAAGCTGTGTAAAAGTCAGAAGACTGGGGTTTTTAAACAGGTTTATTTACCCCACCGTAACATAGTTAAACTGGTTTTAATATTCAATAGCATTTGTAAACCATATAACAGAAGCGTCTGAATGGCAAATAAAATGAAATAAAATTGGGTTTAACGTCCTGTTGTTCTGCTCCAATTGGGCTAATGAAGATGGGCATACTCTTATATTGAATTCCAACTGCCAAGGGATCTTTTATGTGCACGGTAATGTATACACGGTACTTTGGTTTTTCGTGCCATCCGATCGACTAGATAGCTGTCCTTGTTAGGCCCTCCTTCCTGCACCACTGACAAGGGGAAACCACGTCGGGAAATCATGATGAACTTTTTCGGCTAATGCAGGGATCGAACACGCAAACTCTAGGCTAGCGAGCCAGCGTCTCAGCCACCATGGCTCCCCATCTGAATGGCCTATTAGAATGTATATAATCAATGGTTTGTATCACTAGTATCTCTCTAAATATTATCCTCGGTAATTGATTATACCCAGGGGGCTGTGACTGTATGTCACCTTCTCTCAAAATCAATCTTGTACTCTCAGTCAACATGATTATCTTCATCAATAACTTTGTTTATTTCCGGGGTTGAATAAAAATTTACCATGTTTTTTTTTTAATTGACTTATGTAAACGATGAGCAAGTCATACAACAAAGATGTCATTAATTTGATTCCATGTTTTCTTCACTGTAACATGGCAACTAGCTATAAATGAGTTCAGTATTAGATTCATTAATAAGCCTGAAATAACATTTATGATTACGTTTTAATCAGACTGTAATGACGATTCGGTCCCTTATTGGGTATTAAAACCTTTAAAGTATGTTATACCTTTATAGTAAGATACATATTAAATATTTACGCTAATAGTTCGAATCTTTGTTTCACAATAATATAAACTCGTAAAAGTTTGAAATTAACGGTTTTGATCAGACAGTTATGACGATTTGATATGTTATTGGGTATTAAAAAATTTATAGTTCAAGAAAAATGCTGATGAAATATTTACTGAAATATTAAAATCTGTACGTGTTTTAACAAAAAGAATTTCATGCCAGTATGAAATTAACACTTTAATTACAGCAAGACTATTACAGCTTATCAGCATTCGAAATTTCATTAATATGATATTAAGATATCCAAAGTTTCATTTTAGCTTTTAATTATAGTAATGATCACTGGGGATGATATAGTCATGAGATAAACTCATTACATAGATCAAACAGCTAGATTTCTAATGTCTTTATCTTTCTCCTAATAATTTATTGCAGGTAAACGGATGTTACTTCTATTGTTTATATTTATAAAGCCTTGTTTGCCATGCTTTAAATCAGTATTTGAATACCCCTTTAGGGATAATAATGATACTGATATTCTCTGATGTTGTTCTTTGTCCATGTTTAATTAATTTTTCTAGAGGTAAATGTAGATCTAGTCTTAAATATAAAACTCAAATAAATAAATTAATGAAATAAATTTTCTCTGATGTTTTTGAAATGATATTCAATATTGATATTAATAGTTTGTTTGAAAGACATTATGTCATATTATTGTAGCTTGTTTTTGTATTGTTCGATGGGCTTTTGATAATAGTGTTGCAAATGTTAGTACCTTTTTTAAACCTTCATAGCCAGGTATATTTTTTGTCACTGAAGACATTGATACATACACGTAGCTTGTTCTTGTATTGTCAGAAATTCTTTGATAATAAATGATAATATTGCAAATGTTTGTGCTGTTCTGAACCTTCATAATGTATCACAAGAATTTTTTGCCATTATATCAAAAAAGATTGTTTTTCTATAATATATCGGAATAATTTAAAAAAAAAAAAAAATTTATATGATGTTATTTGAAACAAATATAAATACTTACCAAATTTGGATGAATCCATAATAACATGAAGCCCTTAGGCAAACAATATTCACTAATATTTTCGCGTTAGACGTACGACTTTATTTTTCCTAAAGCGAAAACTCAATACTACCATGATTAAAACTATGTAGAATATCAGCGGATTAGACAGGACGAACTTTAAGAGCACGGTAAAATGGTTTCCTCGTTCCACAACCATAGGAAATGTTGTTGATGGTGGTTTTATATATAATCAGATAAGATTCATTCAATACAAAACAGTCCCACTGTTAATGAAAGTTTGCTAGTGGACAAGAACAAGAGAAGTCAATGAAGAGGAAAAAAAAGCATTGCAGTATGCAAAGTTTTCTAACCAAAAATCCTTCTTGTCCTCAAAGAGTAGTCCCACTATTTCCTGTTAGCATGTTTTCATGTTAAGCCACCAGCGACTGATAGGAATAGTGTCACACAGTAGATCATTGACTAACTGTGCTGGCGTTCAGTTGGACGAATAATCTATACATCATACACACTTTGACATCCATGTAGCTAAGCTCTAGATAATCACAATTCTCTTATAATTGAAACTCACTTTTATACGTCAAATAAGTCTCTCTTTTTTCTCTTTTATGAAAAGAGGATATAATATGAGTTCCGATGAAGTTTTAGATCCAAAAACCTTAACTGCCAATTAATGCAAGAAGATAGAAGTCAATGGGACGTGGCTTGTCGCGTCGTTCTGTGTCTTAATTGTAAAGATGTGCTCATGAACACACGACAAGTTTTCAATAACTGGTTACTTCTCCAAGTGAAGCATCCACTACTGTTCTTCTAACGTAATTATGTAGACTACCACCGAGTTGTTTTGTACGTCACTGGACCCAATCTTTACAATATGCCACAGAATTTTAACCAATTAACTGGTCAGTTTCAAGAATTCAAAAGTTTTCCATAAAAAGGGATGGTATTTTCTCCGCTTTCACATACTATAATTTATTTCCTGGATGTTTTCCGCACAAATCCGAGTCACTTTTACAATAGAATTATGGATTAAAGCAGGATATTGATAGAGGTCTTGCTTTTTTTCTCTTGTCTTCACAAGCTGATCAATTTGTTCAATAATGATAAATACAGTGATCCTGGGTTCACTACTGTTCAAACATATTTGTCAGTGTCTTAAATGACTTGGGATTCTTTGCTCCGTAATTCCGTGCTGTAATCATTTTACCAAACCTGCAATTTGAAATGAAATAAAATGAAATGTGATTATTAAGTAAGAAACAAAAATCAATGTGGATTATTATTTAGGTATCAGTTGTGACATTTATAATTACGCAGCCTGAAATTAGAATTTAAACCTAATAAAAAGTGACTGGTTTTGGCTGTATTCCTTGGAACCTTGAAATAGATGAAGATGGTTCTAAAAGTACAAATTAATTTCTTATATTATGAATGTATGTAAAGTGATTTATATTCAATGTTTGAAAAAAATATTGTGATTTCTAATCAATTATGTCCGTGAACAGTTCAAATTGAATGACATTCGTTTCTGTCTGCTAAGTCCATTCTACAGGTTTTTTTTTTTCATTATTATTTTGTCGTTTGTAAATCAATCTTACTAATTACTTCAGTATTGTCTTGTAGGATATGTTTTTATTTGTTAAAGGGACAATAACACACTTGCTGGCTTGACAGCTCCAGAAAATAAAAAAATAGCCTTATTCTAAGTACTAGATGTGTTAGTGTCCTACCTGTTTTGTAAATTATCCATTAAATCCTATTTTACTTGTCCAGAGGGTTCAAAAATATTTTTAAATCCAAGTCACATTTGAAAAGCTTTACGTCAGGCTTTTCAAATCATTTAGTTGAATTTTTCTAATTTTTTAAATTAGGTGTGTTAACATGAAATTTGTATCATCAATTAGTTGGAATATTGTAAAATAGTACAATTTGTTGACCAGAATAAAGATTGGGACATATTATTCAGTTACAACAAGAGTGGTATTGAGCCTTTAATGACCATAGAATACACCACTATATACATTGATTATAAAATGATATTAGGATCCTATATTGTCACGGCAAGATAACAACATCAATATTGGTTGAAATTGACCAGTATTCAATTCTAATTCATGTTTTTAATTTCAAATATTATTGAAAATATTGAATTAGAGACTTGGCTCCTTTAGCTTAGAAAAAGTAAATTAATATGGATTTTTGTTTCGCTAAAATATGGATACGTGCAATTTCTATGTTAACAATGATAATTAATTGTAATCGTTATTTTAGGAGCCACAACGGCTCGGTAAGAAAGACATTGATTGACTAATCAGTAGGGTCCAGAGAACGTTCCTCATGATTTTGCAGTCTGGCTTTCCCTTATTAATGGTGCAGGATGGAGAGCTTGTCTATGACCAGCATCTAGTTGTTCGGATGGGATGTACATAATCAAAATAAAATGAAATGGAGTTTAACGTCCTAATTGACATAAGTTGGAATTTGAAAAAAGATAGGAAGGCAAAATTTCCCTGTTTTCATTCGGCTGGTAGGTGCAAAAAGGTAGAACATAAAGCAAGATCTCATTTCATTTAAACTGATAGTTAACAAATTTGCAACCTTTAATTTCAGTTTAAAAATACATAGTGGGAAGTTTTTAATTCAATAATAATTCATTTTAATTTGACACTAATCATCCTGTTTCCAGTATTGTAAATTTATGGTTCAACACATTTGTTGCACTTAATTTCAATTCACATCTGGGAAGTTGCATGTTAATAACACATAGATAGTTTCGTCTATTGATTTTTAACTCCATACTTCAAATAATAGTTTGAATTATTAGTTGTAAAAAAATTTTGTCAGAAATTAATTGACGTTAATGATCTTATCATAAATTCATACAAGATTTATGAAGCATGAATTGAAGAATTTTAATTAGTTCAGCGTTGTTGTTACTTCTGACATAATATCAACCAATTATATTAATATTTTGTTTCAATCGAGTTTTATTTCATTTAATTTGTCAATTAAAATTGATCTGGAGAAAGTGACAGACAGTAGCAAGCGTTCAAACATTGTGTACATGTATGCAATCATTACTCTCGTCAATTTAATCTTATTGTATTTTGCATCTATATTGATTAGAACTGTTCGACAAACTAATTAAAACTATAATTGTAGATAATTTCAATTGATTTTTGATATACAGACTTTAATATAATGCATAAAAGGATTATTAAAAGTGAATATTATAGAGGGTTCTACAAATTCAGATTTAAATACAAAAACTGAATACAAAACCTGTGGTAATCAAGTGGTTAGGGAATTTATCGTTTGATTATAATTTCCCAGGAATCCCATTTTAGGCTATCTTCGGTATCCCCAGTGGTATCGATCCATTCTACTCCACTAACCCCTGGGGCCTGTTTCACGAAATTTTAACTGAGATAAAATCCAAATTTTAGTAATTTGATTGGATAATATTAGATTGATTTTAGTGCTTAGCCAATCAAAATTGAAATATCTACTAAAATTTGGATTTTATCTTTAGTTAAAATTTCGTGAAACAGGGCCCTGAGTTTATTCACTGGGGAGACACATAGTAAAATTATCTGCCCTTGTGCTATTTTTATCCACCAATCGAGGGCGAAGAGAAGTAACTCATATTTTATTGCAAATAAGATTATTGTGCAGAACATAAACCATGACGCTAAGACTGGTATGTTAACTGTTTTTTGATTGGTTCGTAGAATCAACCTACGATCAAGGGCAGATAATTTGAATTCACGAAAACCCTGTGAATGGAACTAGGGCTTAGTGGAGTAGAATGGAACGATGCCACTGGTGATTCAGAGGATGATTGTAGGCACGGGAAAATCCCAGGATTTGTCAAGCCGGGTTCCCAATTGACAGGGGGAACATCTGTTGCCTAGTAATTCGATTTTGACAAAAAATAAGATCCACCACCAAAATACACATTTGTGAATACGTTGAAGAACCCTTGGCAGTTGGAAATTGATAAATAGTAGGCAGAAAATACAGCTCTCCGAGAGATTCCCCCCCCCCCCCAGCCTTGCTTATGTGACCATAGAAAAAATAACATGTTATTCTTCAAATGATTGAAATATTTGTGGTTACGAGATGTAAAGTCTATTCCTTTCCTTTACTTTACTTTCCAAGATAACATAGGATTTATCTTTAGTGGAAATCTTTATGGTTTTAAGCCATCTTTTTTACTACATGTCTGCAATTCTTATTGTTGGGTTTAACTTATTTTCAAATTTATCCGACATTCATAACAGATTTTCTGTTTATAGTCATACCCTGTTTCAAACCTGTGACTAAAAGACCAAATGTTTTAAACTCATTTGCATATTTTTTTAATATTCAAGATGGAATTCAATAGGCCTACATATGAACAAGAATCAATATCCTTATGAAAAAGTTTGAGTTATGAATATATTAAAAAAAAAAAATTTAATATTAAATTTTTCTTTTGTTATTTGTATTAAGAAGTTTTCTATGGTGGGTGTGTTTTCTAACTTATTTGTTAAGTTTCTTGCCTTATACATGTTTGTTTTTTGTTCCTGAGACAAAAGAGAATATTAGCGTGCTTGGAACAGAAGTCATCATCTGATTAAAGACACGTTTGGTTTATGTTAGAGCTACAAAGAGCTATAAGCCTATCAGATTGTGATTATTTCAGATTATTACTTGATGGGTTGTTTAGGGTCTTTTAAATGCTCCCTTTACCTACAAACAAATAAATATGGGTATGTCACAGCCTTTATAGTTTACTCCGGCAACTTTTCGTGATTGTGGGGGTTTGTTTCATTGCCTAGTAACCTATCTTTAAATATAAAGTGAAATGACACCAATATTGGCATTTGTTCTGATCATATTATTGTTTAAATAAACACATAGTTCTTTTAATAGGTAATTGATTATACAATAAAGGGTTTTGTCTTACCTTGTTCAATGTAATATTTACTTAGAAATTGTATTCAATGGTATTACTTTTTGATTCTGAAGATAAGTAATTGATCTAAACTTTATTGTTTTCCTTCAAAACAATTTGTGAATTATTAGCGCTATTTTTGTAGTGGGGGAATGTTAGAAATCTGTTTGCGTGAATAAAAATATCCACTTACTCATGTTTTGTAAGAAAATAGACATGGAAAGTTTTTTTTTTTTAACATATGTCTAGTGTAATTTTAATTAAATTGATCCAGTAATTTTCTTATTCTTTATTTTCTTTGGATCAAAAACATCGAGCTATTTGATCTTTTGCCTTAAATTGATCTTCGGGAAATTACGTCAGTCCCCGTTAGAATAATCACCTGTTTCTTCGTTTAACAAACATTTACAGGGACCTTTGGGATATGTAAAAGTAAAGCAAGGGTTGAAGCCTGACTTAAGCTTAAAGTAACAATGATTTAAATTGTGGGATATCAATAAACTATCAAATATTGGTAAACTATGAGATATTGATAAGTTAATAAACGAAGACTGCAGGGTTTTTTGTTACATAGTTGAACTCATATCAATATTAAAAATTTCGTGTACTTGTATACAACTGTGAAATTTATTTAATTATTATTATTGATCAACTGAATGATCAATTTGATGTCTAAAACCTCAACTTGACAGGATTATTTTCTGTTAATGATGAATGATATTAACAACTGATGAAATTTATTTCTTCAAAGAATTAATAAAGTTGTCCTTTGAGCTTTTTTTTTCACTTCCCCACAAAAGTTTGATATAGATTTGAACTCTCGATGAAAGAGTTTACACAGAACTTAATAGATCTAGAATCGAGTGAAAGTGTTTGCTAATAACAGAAATATTTTTATATCCAAATATTATTGTGGAACGTAAAAAGCATATTGACTCTTATTTTCAGAACATGAACAATCCCATTGGGTTTATAAAAGGGAAGAAAAATGTGATAAAATATCATAAAACTCATGTTGCACTAACCACTTTGTAAATTAGCTGATTGTTAGATTTGTTCCCCAAAAAATATAAAGAGCTATTTATCAATTTACCATATATAATAAAGTCTACTCTTTAAAGAGATGGGTTTTACTTTTAAGATACTA